GTGGGTGGTCCAATCACCTCGGACGGCGGCCTGCACCCCACCCCCTGGAAGGGAGCGCTAGGGTCTGGAGCTACCTGCTATCGGCCCATTTTGCAGATGAGGCGAACTGAGGCCGGCCGTCTACGCAGTGAGCACCGTGCGGGCCGGCGGCTTGGACCTGAAAGCCTTGGTCTCCTTTCCTTCGGATCTTATTGGAACGGAAGCTCCATGAGAGCAGGAACTGTGCTGTCCTGTCGTTCACTGGTCCCTCCCCAAAGGTCTTATCAAATAATTAGGGGAAGGCTAGGCAGAAGTGAGCGATATAATAAATATAATTATTCCTTTTTTATAATTATTAAAATATAATGCTCTGGCTGCATATCTCTGTCGGTTAGAGCATCGGCCAGATACACCACGGTTGCGGGTTTGACCCCTGGTTAGGGCACATACATGAATGTGTGGAAGGGTGGAGTGGCAAGGTTAGGTTTCTCTCAAATCAATTTTTTTAAATAAATACATTTAGCACATATTCAGCCTCCACCTACTACACTTAGATCCTCAATCAGAGCACAGTACATAACATAGGGAAAGAATTTGGACTAATTCTTAAATTCCAATCCAGTATGATCTTGGAAAGCGTCAAGACCCAAAGAGCTACTGTTTCCTCGTCTTTCGAAGGGGGACGGACGTCCCCGGATTTGGGACGTTTGCAAAGCTCCGGGACGGCACCTAGAAGTTGCAGCACGTAGGGAGGTTGTGGGAAACCCAAACGGGATGGGGCAGAGAGCCTCAAACTTGAGGTTTTACTCGGGAGGTGGTGATGTAGAGCCGGTGTTGCAGGGTTTTAAACATGCGCGGCATTTACAGCATTGGGCATAAGAACATTCCAGTGTCTGCCTGAACTGGAAATAAGTTTCCTCTGCTAGACATCCGGGCACCTAGAGCACCTACTCAGGAAGAAGGCGAGGTTAGTCCTGAGGCCTGGAATCGTAACTGACTCTCGTCACCCGGGGAGAGGTTGTTCTTAGAGAAATAAAAAGACCGGCGCCCCCGCATTTCCACGTCGCTATTGTGACTCCCCCTCTACAGGCACCCACGGGTGAACTACAAGTCCCGCCGGACGCGCGGCTTCCCCGCCTCAAAGGGAGGAGGGGCGCAGGCGAGGGCGGCACCGGCTGTTCCTCTTTCTTGAAGCGTGATTGGCTCGCGGCTCCGGAAGGTGACCAATGGGCGAGCGCAGGGAAAGCGGCGAGGCCAATATGGCTTCCTGCGCCTGGTGACGGTTGAGAAAACAGTTAAGTCTCATGGAGAAGCCCCGGGGCATCGAGGTGAGCGGGAGAGGGCTTATGGTGTCTGGGAAAGGGAACCCCGAGAGCCTAGCTTGGGGAACTCTCTCTTAGGCCTTTTAGCGACGCTGGCGGGTGGAGGGTGGGAGGATGGATGAGCGGCGGCTGAGCAGGGCCAGAGGCGATTGGTGGTGCCGTTTGGTCCCGCGCTGCTGGGGCCGACGTCTGGCGAGTAGTTCAGGGAGGAACCGCCTCCCTGGTCTGGGGGAAAGGGAGCAGGGTTGAGGGCCTGAGGGCTCCCGACTCGCCTTCGTCCTTCCTGTTTCGTGGTCGTGTTCTTTAGGGATTGTGAGGCCTGTCACAGCCTGGTGTGACGCGACGGGAGATTCAAGTGTAATGAACACTCGGCGTCTCGAGCGGTCACGTGCACGAGCTCCCGTTAGAGCCACTGCGTTACTGTTCCGTTCTTATGGTTCGGGGAGCTGAGGCTGAGCGAGGTGGTGACTCCGGGAAGCGGGAAGCGGGAGCCGCTGTGAAGTGGAGGAGGCGGCACTAAGCCCCGCAGGCCCCCAGCCGCTGCCGGCTACGCTTTTCCCGCTCCGCCGCAACCCGTGACCCACCCACTCTTTAATCATTTGGCTTCTGGTCACCTTGTGTTTTTATTTGAGAGAGAGGAGGGGAGAGGGAGAGAGAGAGAAACATCCATCGGCTGCCTCCTGCACGCCCCCTACTGGGCACCTGGGGCTCCGGGGATGGAGCCGGCAACCCGGGCGCATGTGTCCTGACCGGAAGGGAACTGGCGCCCTCCTGGTGCACGGGACGATGGCCAACCCACGGAGCCACACCGGCCAGGGCCCCCGTCACCTTGTATTTGAATTCGGTTTCCGTTCTAGAATAATAATAGAGAATGAGAATAATGCTTAGCCCTGGCCGGCGTCGCTCAGTGGTTAGAGCCTGGGCTGGCGCGCTGGAGAGGCTCGGGTTGGATTCCGGGCTGGGTCACGTGCCTGGGTTGCAGGCTCGATCCTTAGCCTGGTCGGGGCACGTGCGGGAGGCAGCCAATTGATGTGTTTCTCTCACATGGATATTTCTCTATCTCTCCTCCACTCTCTCTAACAATCAATGGAAAAAATATCCTTCGGTGAGGATTAACAAAAAAGAAAAAAAGAATAGCTCACACTTTTAGAGCCGTCACCAACTGCTGGAAACAGATCTAGGCTTTAGGTATCTCAGTCTCCATAGCAGTCTTCGGAAGAAGGCTTGTTATTATCTCCATTGTACTAATGAAGAAACTGAGAGCAGCAAGGTTAACTGTCCTACACCAAAGCACACAGGGAAGTGGCAGAGCCAGGACCCAAACCCAGGCAAATCTGGTTTGAAATGCCATGCTTTTAACCAGTAAACATTGCCAACATTTATTGAACACTTATAATGTGCAAGTCTCTGTTCCTAGTGTTTTACGTGTATTAACTCTTACTTGCCCCCCAAAGCCATGAAATAGGTGGTATTGTGCTCATTTACAGATGGGGAAACTGAGGCACTGAAAGATTGACTTGCTGCACATCATATAGCTAGTAAAAATTAAAGGTGGTGCCCAGTGAGCATGGCTCAGTGGTTGAACGTCAACCTATGAACCAGGAGGTCACAGTTCAATTCCCGGTCAGTGCACATGCCTGGTCAGGACACATGCCCAGGTTGTAGGCTCTATCCCCAGTGGTGGCACGCAGGAGGTAGCCCATCGATGACTCTGTCATCACTGATGTTTCTCTCTCTCTCTCCCTCTCCCTTCCTCTCTGAAATCAAGAAAAACATTCAAAAACAAAAAACCTAGAGATGGTATTTGAGCCTTGACCTAGAGCCCAAACTCTTTACATCTTTTCTACTACTTGCCAGGAAATTCATATACAATATCTCATTTACATCTCACATCCTGTGCTCCAAATTTTATGTTATTTTATAGATGAGAAAATTGAGGCCCAGAGTGGTTAAATGATTTGCCCCAGCCCCTCAACTAGTTAAGATCAGAGCTAAGTCCAAAACTGTGGTATTTACCACTATGCTGTCTTCTGTCTTCAAAATCCTTCTTATGGTGCTCGCTTCGGCAGCACATATACTAAAATTGGAACGATACAGAGAAGATTAGCATGGCCCCTGCACAAGGATGACACGCAAATTCATGAAGCATTCCATATTTTTATGCTAAGTGAAATAAGCCAGGCATCGAGAGCAAATATCACATGATCTCTCTTATACGTGGAATCTAAAGAACTTAATAAACTGATGAACAGAATAGATTCAATGACATGGAAGCATAGATGAGACTGATGTATGTCAGAGGGATGGAGGAGGGCGGGTGGGTAGAGGGGGAGAAAGTAACCAAAGAATTTATATGCATATATACAC